AGCCAACTATATATATATATACATAAAAGAAAGCAAAAGCATATCCAATTATGTGCAAAGAATCAATCATGACAAGGACCCCTCAATGTTTTTTGCCAAAAAGCCTGTGATCCCAATATTGAACCAAATGTCCTTTTTAATCAAGTGTTTGTCCATATTCCCAAATGAACTAATTAAGGGTTTACTCATACATAACAACAAGTTGATTATAACTTAGAAGAGAAAAGACCTACATTTAATTTCATCATTTAAAAACTACAAAAAAAAAGGAAAAATATAAAGGATCGAGCTCGAAATAAAATCACGTCACACGAGCGCAACATCGCTCCACGACGCAAACACGGGCAAGTTGTGGTCTGGACTGGCTTCCCTCGAGCTGCTGAGGCTCGTCACCAGGGATGATGGGTCCGAGAGGTGTCGGCCCATTTGGCTCTGAAAGTCGTCAGTTAGGGTTGTTAGGGTTTTTGGGCTAGGCTGCTTTGGTGAGGACTCGACATTTTCGGAAGTTACTATTATGGGCTCACTCTCGTCCTTGCGTCGGGCCATCTCGCCAGCTGGCAGAGCATTGCTCGTCATGATCTTGTCCACGTCATACCGAGACATGTTGAAATTTGTAACAGCGTTTGGGCCCCGGAATTTGATGGCCGCTATGTCGTAGGCCTCCGCTGCTTCCTCTTGCGTGCCTGATATTTTTATATTATTATTATTATTATTGTTATTCTTTTAGAGAATGACTACAGTCCCGTCATGGTATAATTCCGTTCTTTCAATATTGATCATTATATCTTTTAATTTGATAATGACCCATATATATATATGTAGTTAACAGATGCTGATATGTCAATTTTTTATTGGAAGTTTATTTTAGAGGAATGGTTCTATTACAAGACTGTAGCATTTTTCTTACTGAAAGTTCCGAGGTAGAGGTCCTTATTCCCGGCAACTCGGCCGATCCTCGCTTGCCACCTTCCATGCTGATGGTGCCTGAAATAAGAAAGATATATAAAACAAATAAAAAAATGTAACCGCGAGAAAATTCCTAATGAGAAGGGAAATGAAATTAACCTTGTGACACCTCTATACATTGAGGCACCTCTTGAAAATCCACTACTCCTCCTGAAGTTTGTACACAAAACCCAAAACTTAACATGAATTGGGACAAAATTTAACAAGTTGTTTAAATTATTGATGTTTTAATTGTTTAGTAAAAAGTTGACCTTCTCAAGTGAGCAACGTATTCTTGTCGATTCATGCTCTTCATCTCCTCAAGTTCTTGATGATAGTTTTCCAACTACAATTACAACAAAATGGATCAATAAAATAAATAAGCTTACAAAAAATTTTGAAAAATATATATATATGTACCGGAAAATTAATATGGGTTGATGGGCCCCAATATTTAAGAGCAGCAAGATCATAAGCTCTAGCAGCTTTGTCTTCCATATCATATCCTCCTGAATGTACATAAATATAATGCCAAATTTAATTAACGCATCAACAATTATTCTCTAAAATGAAAAGTAAATTTGCGTTCTTGCTTCAAATATTCACACTTACCAAGATAAACTGCATTTCGGATAGTTGAAGAGACAAAACCATCACCAAAATTCAAACAAATTAGTTAGACAATGATATTTTAATCAAATATAAAAAAAATAAAATGAAAACAAAAGCACTTTATTTCATTTCATTTTTATTTTATTTTTTCTTAAGCAAGCTAATTACCTTGTCTTCCTTTCCTAGTCTGCCCCTCTTTCTTTGAACTATTATCCCATAAATGAGCTTCATATCTACCTGTCCACCTATGCCTAAACAAACAAAAATAAATAAATAAATAAATAAATAAATAATAATGGCCAATATTTCAAAATCCAAATTAACTCAAAAATACCAATTTGAAAAAAAAAAATGGAAAAATAGAAAGCAAAAATTTAATTAATTAGTAACCTTGTGACACCCCTATACTGAGAAGTCCTCTGCCCAAATGTATCAATAGATTTCCTATGAACAGTTTGCCTCTGCCCCATCAACCCTCTTTTCTTCGCACCACTAACGTTTTTCACAACAGTACACTCACCGACATTAGTGGGCTTGTTGTTAGTGACGCAGCTGGACTGCGAGCCCGGGCTCATGGACAGGCTCAGGGACGAAAGTGGGCCTTGGCCCACCTCGTTTTGGGCCTTGTTCTGGACCACAGCCGGGCTGGCGAACTGTGGGTCGAAGTCGTGGTCGGGCTCGATCATCCACGGCTTGGGGCAGGGGAACTCGTGGAGGATTTGCCCGTAATTAAGGCCGTAATAATTGTAATTATATCCGTAATTATTATTATTATTGTTGTTGTAATCGAGGCTTAGGAACATTGGTGGGTGTGGGTCCCGCTGATGATGATGATGATGAGAATGAGCCGCCATTGTCGTCGTTGCTGTGCCGCCTAGGAAGTTTTCCAGTTTTGGAGAAGGAACTGTAATTAAAATAACCAAAAATAAAATGTTGGAAAAACTTTTATTTTTTTTTTTATTTTTTTTTTCTTTGGAATAGGAATTTGGAAAAATATTGGGGGTACCTTGAGAATGAGATGTGGAGAGAGCCTCCATGAGACAAAGGGAAGTATCGGATTTGAGAGGCAGAGGCATGACGACAGGGCTAAAATCGTCATTTTGAGAAACGACGACGTTTTGATGGTGCCCAAAATGAAGGCTGAAAGGATTCATGGGCGTGTTAGTGTTAGTGTTAGTGTCGTCCTCATCTGCAGAAGCCTCCATCTTTAAGCGGGGC